AACACACACACAAACAAATGCACATTTTTGGATTTATATCCATCTTTTTCTTTTCTGAATTGACAACACAAACACCCATGCACAAAGACAAAAAGTCAACACTTACTGCTCCAGATGTCTATAGTGCTGTCACCTGAAAAGAGATAAAGGTAATATTTTGTCAACAAAACTCTTTATATTGTTTTCACCTAGTTTACCTTACCCTCTCACTATATTTTCTGTCTCTTTCTTCTTTAACTCTTAAACCATGTCTGGACAGTGGCAGCGTCCCATAGCTGAGGTTCGGGACTATGACTGGACGGTACCACCGTCAGACACGAAGTTATTATGGTATTATGGTTCGAGTCGAATATAAAAGAATACGAACTAACAAGCCTTTTGACCCGGAAGTAAAAGATACATGAATTCTACGTCTGGGTGACTCTTTATTGATCAGTTTGACCAGAAACAAGGATTTTTAAGAATGTAATATGTGTCGAGTTGCATTTCCACAAACACAAGAAAATTATGTGGAAACGTGATTTTAAAATGCAGGGTTATAGAGGGAGGAGTGACCCACAGAGTCGATTTTCTATGTTTGTTGCCTGTGATCAAATCTAAGTACACAATATAAGTTAGTTATCTCTTTGTTACATTGAAGGCAGCCTTGCCATCTGTGTTTCCTGAAAGTTTCATGTCAAAATGATGAAAACTAAGGAAGGAGTAGGGGCAAAACTGAAAAAAAAAAGACATTTTGAGAAAAACGACAATTGTTGTGGAAATTCACCATATTTTAACCCACCCTCAAGTTTTCAAAGGCAATTAACGACGAGAATACAAACTTTCTCAATCGTCGCCTTGCTATTTTTAGCCAAAAAGCTGGTTGATCTTAACAGATCAGTCAACATCTCAATTTGCATTGCTTGACCCGAAATCGGCAAAACTGAGGGTCTCTCTGCCCGTCTGTCTGTTTCTCTCTCTCTTTCTCTTTGTCTGTCTGTTTCTCTCTCTCTCTCTCTCTCTCTCCCTCTCCCTCTCTCTCTCTCTCTCTCTCTCTCTCTCTCTCTCTCTCTCTCTATCTATCTATCTACCTATCTCTCTATCCCTTCATGTAAAAAAAGCAGATACACAATCACAAAAGGTTTTTTAAGCTG